CGACCGAGCTGGTTATGACATAGACATATGAGCAAAATAGTCATTTCACTTGTGTGTTGCACGAGATATGATTTCTTCATTATACAGAGTATTAGATAATTTTAGAAGTATAATAATGATTATACATTGCGACATGTTCAATGAAGATTATATATAAAACTGTAGAAGTGAAATTAAAATGAAGATTAGAAACAATTTCTAATGAGTTGGGCTTTAAATTTTTCGAAGAAATGATAATGTACAATCAGAATATGTGAACCTCCCAGTTAGATGTGTTGTGAATCGCATTTTTAGATGGTTCTGATCTTGATTATTGATTTTGAATTTGAAATTTACTTTTGGTTTGTTTGATACAAGAGATCAAAGAAGAAAGTTATACAAACGAAAATAATAAAAAAGAAAACCATTCAATATTATGTATTAATAGGATTGAGAATGATATTGTAATTTATCGTGAATTTAAGTCAATATTATGTATTAATAGGATTGAGAATGATATTGTAATTCATCATGAATTTAAGTCATACATGGGAGGGAAAATTGTATGTAGTCTTCGGAGAGGATTCTCCCTATAGGATTATTAGCAGACTCCTAAATGACATAAAATGTTGTGTCGGACCGGGAAGCGACCCGGCAAAGTGCCTGGGTCACGGGTTGGGTCAACCCGGTCAACGCCGAGAAAATCGGCAATGTTTAGTCGAAAATGAAAACATAAAATATATTAAATCATATATTAGATTAAGTTTGTATATGATCAAGAATCACTCTTATTCAAAGCCAACTGGCTAATGACCTTTTGAGTTAATAAAGTTTGTTGGAGTTGATGATAAAAAAAAAAGAATCACTCTTATTCAAAATTTAATGTGCCAAAATGTAAAGTTTTAACAAAATTCAAAATGCATTTAGAATTAGATGGACCTTTGGGTGAACATAATATTTAAACAGTAAATAAGATTGATATATGCGATGGATCTTTCATAAATAACAACAATATAGATAGTTATTATTAAAATTGTAGGGCTTAGAAAAGATATAGCGGTAAAATATAGATATAATCAGTTGGTGGTGAGTGTGTTGTGCTGTTCGGAGTTCCAGTGATCGAAACTCCCCGTCGTCCTAATTTTTGAGGAAAACGTGGTCTCTTGTCTGGTTTTAGTTGAAATTCCGGGTCTCAAGCGTTTCGGGTCCGGTCTGGTTTCTGTCGGGCCGCCGGTTAATTCCGGTTTTAACTATATTTGCGGGTTTCCTTTCAACCGGACTGACTCTGTGACCGATTGACCGGGTTCTGGTTCGAACCGCCCGGTTCGATCCAGTTCTTTAAACATAGATAAAATGAGGACAATGTTGTTCCCCCTTGAACCGAGATCGGCGATGGCCGATGGGTATCCGTTTCTCGACCCCCGGTCAATCTCGGTTCCATTTATTATGTTTTAAACCCTCCCGACTCCCAAGTCCCAACTAGGGGAGAGCAAACCTGACCCTACCCGATTGACCCGATCGGATATATCCGATTTTATTTTTTGGGTCCGATAAACCGACCCGAATGACCCAAACCCGATCCGATTTTTGCAACGCGAGAGTTAAGCGGGTAGCGGGTAGGGTTACCAATTATGCTACCTGACCCGCTCGAAAACCCGAACTAGGGTAGTATATATACTACTTTGAATTATTATATATGCATGTTCAAATATCTCAATTATTGTATGTCAATTACCATATTATGCATATTCAAATATTTCAATTGCTGTATTTGTAAAACTATAACTTTGAATGTTGTATTGTTATGATTTTGAATGATATTTTGACCAATTATCATTTTATTTATCACAATATCAAATATGTCAATCACCGTATATTATTATTTTACATGTTCAAATATGTCGATTACCGTATTTATACAACTATTACTTTGAATGTTATACTAGTATAAATTTGAATGATATTTTTACCAATTATCATTTTATTTATCACAATTTCAACAATAATAAATTAAAATCCGAATGGACCCGAAAACCGAACCAACCCGACCAAAACCCGAACTTCTTCAACCCGAAAAACCCGATAATTTTTTTGATCGGGTAGGGTTTGAAATTATCAATACGATACCCGAACGGGTTTACCATTTTTGAACCCGACCCGTGCTCTGCCCTAGTCCCAACTCCCCCCCCCAACTTCTTTTTCCTTTTTATTTGGGCTGAAATTTTCTGGTCCAGTCTGAATTGGTCTAGTTTGGTCTGGTATGGTCTCATAAATGTCTGATCTTTGTGTATTTTATAACTATCTAAGTCTGATGTGGCATGAACTAGTATGGTCTGGTCGGTCTTGCAATTTTGAACTATTAGCTTACCATTAAAGTGCATCTTTCCTTCTAGCTTGGGCAAGCAAATTAGTCAAAACAAGATAGTTGCTGAAAGGAGAGAAAATTGAACTAAAATGGTAGCTACCAAATATATTTAATTTATTGTTAATTGATATACTAAATTAATTAAAAATGAAACTGTAAAGTAATGCAATAAACGGTAAAGTTCCAAAATCCTGAAAAATGCGACAGTAAATAGTGCACTACAACGATAAACATTAAATATATATGTTTTATTTAATTTTCTTGTGAAATATTTAAAGTTGATATTTCTCAGTATGTATGTGTTGTTAAAATTTCTTATTTCTTTTTTTTACTTAACAAATACATATATTTGTACAAATTTTAAAAATATTTTTTTTTCATATTATCGTCGTTATAATTCTTTGGCCGCGGGTATGCGGTGTCTGCAATCTGCCAGCCTGCCGGTGCAATCGAACCGCATGGCGCTTCGCATGTGCTATAAATGGGGAGGGGTGTGCTACACTATCAGCGATTACTTTTAGTGTAGCGGTAAGCGCAACGATCCACAATAATAATAACACTAATAATTTATGGGTTTAAAAATATCATCTATATTTTCCCAATTTAAAAATATTTTAATATAAGTATAATTTTTATTGTATTAATAATCAATTCATTCACAATGTATATTTTCAAAATTAGTGGATTTGTGGGGCATATTCAAGAGGCAAACGTTGTAGCTGACCATTAGACTATCACATTGCTGGAAAATGAATTGGTCAATAAAACTGATATGGCAAACAGGGGCGGAGCCAGACTTCACTCTAGGGGGATATAATATAAGTATTAAAATGTAAAGGAAAATTTCAATTTTGGCCCAATAAATTTACTTTGAGTCCGTTTTTAGTCTTGATGCTTCACTTGCTCGTAACTTTGGTCATATAATTAATAATTTTTTTGCAATATAAGTACTTTCCCACAGGAAAGTACACTTTCCTACTGATAATTCAGGTTTAATGCACCAAACCCCCCTGTGATATGGAAATTCGGCGCATTAACCTGAAACTGCAAAAACTTATTAATTACAGGATGCGAGTAAAGTTACATGACTAGTAATGGATATAGTCAAAAACTACAAGACTAGTAAAGTTACAAGACTAGCAATGGATATTGTCACAAATTACAAGACTAAATTGCCCCGCAAACAAGGTGTAAAGACCTAATCGGCATGCGAGTAAAGTTACAAGTAGGGTTGTAAATGAATGGAATTGAGTCGAATAATGAGATTTTGTATTTGTATTTGTTTAATTTTTTCGAATACGAATTCGAATTCAAATATGAAACGAATATTAATTTCGATTTGTATTTTGTATTTGTTTAACAATACGAATAATTAACGAATCAAATACGAATATGGAATCAATTTGAGCATAGATTAAATATTAGTCAAATATCACTTTAAACTAACTTTTCTTATACTCCGAATTTTTTATGTTGTAAATGTATGCTATGACTCTTTTTTTTTGCAAATGCATGCTATGACTTAATATGTATTTTCAGAATTTAAATTTAATGGATCAATGCTTTTTAGATGGTGCACAATATACTAAAGTGAAATAATTTTATGATTAATAAATATAAATCTATTTCAAACTTTTTGAAATAAAAAATAACACACACATTATAAATTATACTTATAATGTGTGAAATAAGTTGATAATGGTATATATTAAAGTCAAACAACTCTAATTTTAATCTTCAAATCAAATACATAATTATTTGTATTATATTTGAAAGACATTTGAACCAAAAAATTGATTTGTATTCGTATTTATATTCTAGTTTATTGAAAATGGGCTTAGAATCTGTATGCAAAAATGTATATATGGGCTACACTTTGAGGTTATTGCTATCTTTTAAAAGTTATTATAATGTTATTACTATTATTATTAATAGAGATATTAATATTACCATTATTATTAATCGAATATATTTGATTAATATTCGAATCGAATACATTGGTATTCTTCTTTGTATTTGATAACAACTCGAATCAAATTTAATATTCTTATTTGTATTTGTATTTGAATTTTCCGAATTCGAATCATGAATTCGAATCGCGAATTGAACGCAAATAGATCCAAATTCTCCATTTGGTAATTAAGGAAAAATCTCCATATGAAAGAAATTTTTTTTCAACTGATTTCATATTCCTAAGGGGATAAGGGTCAGTTTGGTCCTCGAAGTTGCAAAAAAGGGGTCAAATAAGTCCTTATATAGAAAATTCTGTCCGCACGTGCCATTTGAGGTGGCTCCCGGTGGAATGTTTTGATGAAATTTTTTGAGCATCTTATTCATTAGGTCTAGTTTACTCATACCAAATTTCAGATAAAAATTCAATCGGGAAGACATTCAAATGAATTCTTGAAGATAACTGTGCCGTTAAAAGCGCTGTTATCTTCAAGAATTCATTTGAATGTCTTCCCGATTGAATTTTTAGCTGAAATTTGGTATGAGTAAACTAGACTTAATAAATAAGATGATCAAAAAAATTTATCACAAAATTCCATCGGGAGCCACCTCAAATGACACGTCCGGACAGAATCTTCTATATAAGGACTTATTTGACGCCTTTTTTGCAACTTCGAGAACTAAACTGACCCTTTACTCTATTCCTAAGTGGCCATAGCAAATATCTTAGGAAAAAAGTGGCCACAGCAGATAGGAGGATCAAGGACTTGAAGATATTCTGTGAATTACCTCACCAGGCAAAATCTGTTTCTGGGTTGGATGGATTCGAAAAATACAATTTTTTGAAGGATCCCGGAAGCCATCACTCTAGACAAGTCTTGAGGTGTAATTTTTATCAGCGATGTGGTAATTTTTTAAGATTAATTGTCTCCTCAATTGCATTTCCCTGACATTGGAAAGTGTTACATAGTGCCATTTTAGTGGATTATACATCGTCCTGGATCCTTATTATTTGAAGCGCACAATGGATAACAAAATCCTTGATTATGCATAAGGGTATTCTAAGGTTCATGGCATGAGCACCAAATGTTTGATATTTAGCTTGAGTTTTGCGGCATTGTTTCTATTAGTAAGTTCTTAAGCTAGCATTTTTGGGTGGCTATTCCAAGTAGGGCTGGGACTTTGGAACCAAGAACCGGAGAACCGAACCGGACCGAACCGTTATGACCCGGTTCGGTTCGGTTCCAACATTTATTAGTTATTTTTTAACGGTTCGGTTCCTATTTTTTATTAATGGTTCGGTTCTCGGTTCCTGAAAAAAATATGTACTAGGAACCGTTATATATAATAATTAAAATTATATATATTTCTTATGCGCATATATATTTTAATGTATATTTATTTACTTATTTTTATATTACATTCATTATTTTTGTTTAGTTATTCAACTATTTAAAATTATTATTCACTTCAACCGGTTCTCTTAGGCTTCTTAGGCCTCTCATTAGGTCCAAACTCCAACGGGTCGGAACTTTGAAGGTCCAAGTATTTAAAATTATTATTGTCTTTAACTATTTAAGCATATTTGTATCGTAATTTCAAACGTAGAATGTCTTTTTGGCAAAAATTTAGTCATGATTTGTAAGATTTTTTTCGAAGACTAGGAACCGTTAAATGACAAGAACCGAACCGTTATGAACGGTTCGGTTCCTTATCGGTTCTATAAAATAATTTATAAGAACCGAACCGTTAGTAAAATTTCATATTTTCAAACGGTTCCACATATTTTGCCTAGGAACCGAACCGGTCCCAGGCCTAATTCCAAGAATCATCTTTACTCCAAGAACTTTAGCTTACGAGATGAATCTGCTTTTCTGCAGAGTTCAAAGAATAATTCAATGACCTCTTGCGGTAATAATATTATCCTTAACCACAACTTCACTGAAGGGCTGAATTCATGGCACCACAATTGCTGTGAAGCCTTTTTGGTTCCAGCAGGTGTGGAAAATTATGTTGTTGTTACAAACCGCAAGGAATGTTGGCAAGGCTTGGAGCAAGATATTACAAACAGAGTTTCTATAGGATCCACCTATACAGTTAGTGCTTATGTTGGAGTGTCTGGTGCAATTCAGGTCTCTAGTGATGTCCAGGCTACCCTAAAACTAGAGTATAGAGATTCATCTACTACCTATGTTTTCATAGGAAGGTATCTGGTACCTCTTATTCTGTGAACATTTTACTTGGTTATCTAAGAAATTATATTGTGACAAAGGAAATCCTCTTCAAATGCAGAAAATCTGTTTCTAAAGATTGTTGGGAAAAACTGGAAGGCACATTTTCACTGTCTAGTAAACCTGACCGGGTTGTATTTTATCTGGAAGGACCTTTACCAGGAGTTGACCTACTCATTAAATCAGTTGTGGTTACCTGTTCTTCCTCAATAAAGTGTAAAGTGAGTAATTTATAATTAATCTTATATTATCACTGTTTAGATTTGACTCCACGCCCAAAGTAAAATTACTGTTTATATTTAATTTTTTTTATAGTGTGTCAAACAAGAGAGCTATGCTAAACTTAGTCCAGTAAACAAAAGAAAATTTGAAATTTAGCTTCGATGGATGAATCACCATAGTTGAGCACTTGAAACACACTAAGGGCCCTTTAGCGTGGTGAGTTTGGAGTGTAAAAAGCTAACTGTGAATCTGTGATAGTAAGTTTAGTAGTTAGGACTGTGAGGTCCAGTGCAGCTGTAGATTTGATATTTGTTTGATTAACTAATAGCGGCTGTAAAACTTAAAAAATGCGTTTAAAGAAGATTTTAATTTCTAAAAGTTAATAAAATAATTTTAAAAAATTAAGTAAAAGTATACAAGAAAATTTTAAAAAATAAAGAATAATGTAATTTAAAAAAATTAATCAAGTTAAACTCACCTCACCGGAGGTATCAAACCCCGGTGGAAAATGATATACGAAGTTGTCAACTTCATCTCTGACGACGAGTTTTACTTTGTGTTGGAATCCCTCCTTAATTGGAGATGTTCTAGAAAATTTTATAGCTTTCTAGAACATTTCGGAGAATCCTAGAGAAGTCTAGAACTCTCTAAAAGCTTGTGGAATAGTGTGAAATCCTCTAAAATATTCTAGAGATGTGTGGAACCTTCCGGAAGCTTATGAAGCATATGGAAGGGAATGGAGAGGTGTAGAGATTCCTTGGAATTCTCTAAAATATGTAGACATGTGTGGAACATTCTAGAGAACTACTCTCTACCATTCATTATGGAGGTGGAGTAGTATAAATAGGAGTAGGAGCCTTCATTCCTAACCATCCTAGCAAGAGAGAAGCCATTTCCTGGAGTGAGAAAGCTAGAGAGTTAGAGAGCCTCTTCGAGAGAGAAGAGAGTTAGCTTGGGAAGTTCTTATCCTCAAGCTTGAGTGAGCCACCATTGAGTGAGACAATTTTGTAACATCCTTGTAAATCCTACTATTCTTTTGTATAGTGGAATAATCTCCATATTGGAGAATTTAAATCGTGTGCTCCCATTACTACCTTAATTCCCAAGTGTCTATCTTAACTTCACGAAGCGGGAAAGTCCGGGTTTTTGCCAACACTTTGTTCTAATGCAAAACTCACCAAACTTAATGCACTGCTAACAGAAAGGCAGCCTAATGTTAAGTAGTTTTGTACTGTGCTGAAAGTGTGGAACATACTCCCTCCGTTCCTTATTACTTTGACAAGTTTGACCGGCCCTTGAAATAAGAAAATAAAAATTATGGTTGAGGTTTCTACAGGGATGAAAGAATTCATAAAAACCACAAAATAATTACTAAAGTGAAAGTTTTTGGGACATTAAAAAAAGTTGGCAAAGTTATAAGGCATAGAGGTAGTAACTTCTTTCATTTTTTCCGGACAGATGTAGTACTAACGACTTATCCAGTGTTTGCTTGTTTTTCCCTTAAGATGATTTCAATGTAATTGATAGAATTCCGGTTCACAATCCATCTCTTCTGGAGAAGGGATCATATTGAACTCCATATTTGAGGATGGCATGAACAACTGGTCAGGGAGAGGCTGCAAGATTCTTCTGCACGATTCTATGGAAGATGGGAAAGTTCGTCCAGTGTTTGGTAATGTTTTTGCACGTGCAACAGAACGGACACATACTTGGAATGGATTTCAGCAAGAGATAACAGGAAGAGCATTGCGAAAGCTTGCCTATGAGGTTCTTGCTAAAGTTCGCTTATATGGTAGCAATGTCACCAGTTCAGCTGTTCGTGCAACATTATGGGTCCAGATGGCTGATCTTCGTGAGGAATACATAGGCATTGCCACGTATGCTCTCTCCTTTATTATGTTGTAACTTTCATTTAATGGTGTCAATACAAGATATGGGGTTTAATTGCATCATTTTTCTCGATATGATAGGGATTGATTATTCAATTTATTCCAAATGGCTTCTTATTCTCTAAAGAATTCTGGTGATGGCTTCTTATTTTTGTACAGAGCTCACTCCCCCGAGTTTCTTGTGACCTTTAAGGTCTGTTTGGATGTAGTCATGTAGGGTTTGGAGCATTAAATCTAAATCTTAATAAATAAAATGTTTCCAAAAAGGAGTAAAAGGTGATAGAAATGCTATACAATCACATTAATTTTTACAAAATCTCAAATTATTATATCTAAGATATAGACTTAAGCACTACGCGTCTACACCTCCATCTATAATCTTCCTTTCCAAACCGTCCATCCAAAGACACCCTTAGTTCAATGCTCTCACCATTAGCGTTTTGCTACATACTTCATATGCTTTTGAAGGACATACTTTTATACCATTAGAAGGTAGCTTCTTAAAATAAATTACTGAAAACCTAACCTTGGACTTTTCCATAGTGTACAAACAACAGACAAGGAGTGGTCACAATTACAAGGAAAGTTTCTTCTCAATGGTTTCCCATCTAAGGTAATTATTTTTCTCGAGGGCCCACCCCCAGGCACTGACATTCTCCTCAATACGTTAACCGTGAAGCGTGCAGCTAAAGTTCTTCAATCTCCTCCTCCAGTGATCGAGGTTAGTTCACAAAAAAAATCTTAGATTATTTTGTTTGTGTAATTATTTCGAGATATAAGAGTGGTCACATGGTTAGTTTTGTTAAGACTTCCATCATTGAATTATTAAAAAGAGGTGTCCAGTTGGGCTCAAATGCTTTATGACCATTTGAAAAGAGGTGTCCAGTGAATCTGATATTATTATGTATTCTATCGAATTCAGTCCATTATTCCAAACAGAAGATACTGCTTAATACAATCCTCTTCTCCAGAATGTAGATTTTGGTATCAATATTATCACAAACACCAACCTAAACAATGACACAAATGGGTGGTTTCCTCTTGGAAATTGCACCCTCACTGTTGCAATCGGCTCACCACTTATAATCCCTCCTGCGGCTAGAGATTCTCTTGGAGCTCACCCGCAGTTAAGTGGTCGCTACCTTCTTGTGGGGAATCGTACAGAGACATGGATGGGTCCCGCGCAGATCATTACACATAAAGTCAAAGCCTATTTGACTTATCAAGTTTCTGCATGGGTTAGAATTGGAAAAGCAGCCAGTGGGGCTCAGAGTGTGAATGTTGCTCTTGATGTGGACGGTCAATGGGTGAATAGGGGTCAAGTTGAAATTGATGATGACAACAAATGGCATGAAATTTGTGGATCTTTCAGGATTGAGAAAGAAGCAGCTAAGGTTAAGGTTTGTGTTCAGGGTCCTGCTCCAGGTGTTAACTTAATGGTTGCCGCACTTCAAATATTTCGAGTTGATAGAAAGGCACGGTATGACCACTTACGGGGAGAAACCGATAAGGTAAGAAATGGACTGCCTGTTTTATACATAATTACGTAGTATTATTATATGAAGAAAATAAATGAATGGGCATGCACTTTTTGGGACCCCAAGCATATTAAAGGTTGTTTTATTGTAAGTTTTAGTTTTTTAATATATAACAGGGTTGTCTGAAGTCTATAGATTATCAATTTTCATGTCATGCAGATTTGTATAGTTTATATATACAATAATACACTTCTGTTATTGCATTTTAGTGATGTGGTTTTGGTATAATGACTAAAGAAAAAGCTAAAGAGACAATGGCTATTTAAAGATTTAAAAAAAGTGGCTATGCATGTCCCTTTTAAGCTTTTATACTTCATGTGTCATCACCAATGACACTGCAATGACACACCACAGCTGCCAGTGGCACACCGTCAGCATAAGTGACACCGCCTCACATGTCACCGTAACCTACGACAGAAGTTTTTGGTGAGTTTCCTGGAGACTTTTTCCTGGCAACTTTGGAAAAAAATCCAGCAGCGACAAGGGTCGGGCAGCTGGACTGGGAAGCTGATGGGTGCTGAGTGGGAATGATAAAATTGGGGTTTGGGATTATTCAATCATTTTTTTAAAAATATTTAAAACGAGTCATATTTTTTGTGCATTAGAACTGTAGGAGTTATATTCTTGTGTATTTATTATTTCTTCATAATAAGTCTTCTACGCTGCTAGTTGAGAGTTGAGAGAACCTCTGTTTCCCCATATATTCTTAATAATGAATTGTTAAGATAGGTCAGCATCTACCTATATATCATGTAAGTAAGTACATGTTTCTATGGTATAGATACGCAAGCGAGATGTCATCTTGAGGATCTCAGGATCAGAAAGTTTTCTTGGGACTGCTGTGAATGTAAGGCAAATCCAAAATAGCTTCCCGTTTGGGTCTTGTATTAGCAGAGGAAACATCGACAATGAAGAGTACAGAGATTTCTTCCTCGGGAATTTTAATTGGGCTGTCTTTGGGAATGAGCTGAAGTGGTACTCAACAGAACCTCAACAAGGAAACATAAACTACAACGACGCTGATGAGCTCTTGGACTTTTGCATGAGAAACAACATTCCTGTGCGTGGCCATTGTATTTTCTGGGAGGTCGAGGATGTCGTTCAGCCATGGGTCCGCGGCCTGGAAAAGAATGACCTGTCAATTGCTATCAAAGCACGCCTTACAAGCCTCCTCACGCGCTACAAGGGAAAGTTTAAGCACTATGACGTGAACAATGAGATGATGCACGGCTCGTTCTATCAAGACCGGCTCGGGAAAGAAACTCTAGCCAGCATGTTCAAGGCTGCAAACAAAATTGACCCTTCTGCCCTCCTATTTGTAAATGATTATCATGTTGAGGATGGCTGTGATGCCCGGTCATGCCCGGAAAAATACATTGACCACATTCTTGAACTCCAAGAACGCGGGGCCCCTGTCGGGGGCATAGGTATCCAGGGACACATAGATTGCCCGATTGGACCAATCATTCGTCACGCTCTGAATAAATTGGGAATTCTCGGACTCCCTATTTGGTTCACCGAGATAGATTTCTTTTCAAAAAATGAATATATTAGAGCTGACGATTTGGAGGTTATGCTCCGCGAATGTTATGCTCATCCTTCTGTGGAGGGGATAATGTTGTGGGGATTTTGGGAGTTATTCATGTCCAGGGAAAACTCTCATTTAGTGAACGCTGAGGGGGATCTTAATGAGGCCGGCAAAAGGTATGTTGCTCTTAAAAGAGAGTGGATGTCACATTGTCATGGTAATTTTAATCAGCAGGGAGAGTTCTTCTTTAGAGGATTTTATGGATCATATGAAGTGGAAGTCATTGGAAGGTCAAAGGTATTTACCAAGACATTTGTGGTCGACAAGGGTGAGGATGTTTTGATAATCTCCATTGATGCATAGTTGGTGAGTTGGTGACTACTCTTGGGATGTACACATTTCTAAGGCCTTATTATGATCTTGTGCTTATCTTATCATTAGAAGCATACATGTTTGAATTATTACTCTTTTTCATACAAAATGTCTAGATTTTGTGTGCCAGAGTATATTTATAGTCTTATGGATGTAAAAAGCGAAGTTTCAATAAAAACAATGTGATATTACTAAGGCCTTAAAAATTGGAATTGAAATTTATGATAAAAAAAGGCCTTAAAATTTCAATAATAACAACACAAATATTAATGAAGATAGGAATCATAATAAAAAACTTCACCATCATAGTTATACAAAATCATATTCTAGTCCACATGTATATTGATTGGTATCAAAGTGTTTGAATATTTGTGTAATACGAGTAATTTGGATAATATGTAGTATATACATACTCCGTAGTATTTAACTATATCAGCGACAAACATTTTCATATTAGTAAAAATAATATATATGTACCAATGTGTGTATATAATGTATATAATTCTATTGATTAAACAAATTTTGATGTCAATGTATCATACTTTTGTATGATACCAAGGTGTCATAATGTTTAATAATGTTATTGTATCAAAATATTTTGTTGTACTTGGGTTTCATGCAAGGGCGGAGTCAAGCGAGGGGTCAAGGTGGTCAGCCGACCCCGCTGAAAATTCAAGAATGTAGAGCTTTGAAATGCATTCGATTTGATATATTATGGGTCTCGTAACTCATTACGAGTAGAAAGTTATGACTTCTGGAAAAATCAGCACCATCTTAACTTGAAATAAGCAAATTTTAATGTGTGATGTTGATTATATTCTTAAATTTAGAAAAAAAAAACATCTTATTCATTCATTAGTTGTGTGAACATTATAATACATTACACATATATCAATACATTAACCAAAAAATGCTCATTAAACTACCATTTATCTCAACTACTAACTCAATTATTGTATAATAAACTATCCAACATTTTGATACTGTATATAATTAAATTCCGACCCCCTCAAACATTTTTCTGGCTCCACCCCTGATTTCATGATTTACTGACATTTTTCGTTGATATTAAATTTAATGTCGTCATTTTTTACTTGTGAAATTTCTCTTGTGTCATGATTTTTTTTTACATTTAATAGGTAGTGTCATTGTGAGACATTTTTCTAGTAGTTATTTGATATCAGTGAGAACCTTAGTCATGAATCATGATGAGCTGATTTTGTATAATGAAGTAGTCAGGGACCCGGTTCGGGCCGGGCGGCCCGGGACCGGCCCGGCCCGCTACTGTGCGGGCCCAGAACCGGCCCGGTTCTCGGGTCCGGGTCCGGTTTAGGCACCGAACCGGTGGGGGTGGCGGGTCCAGGCTCGGGGCTTGGTTTTGGCGACCCGGCCGGGCCGGGTCGAGCCCGGGTCCGGGCCTAACGGTCACAATTTTAAAAAAAAAAATAATTTTTTTCATTTCTTTTTAAAACACCCTTTTGGGTTGTTGACCCACTTCCCAAATGGCTATATAGCCGTTGGGTGGGTACCAGGGGGGTCCGGGGCTTTTGGGGGTGGGGGTGGGGGGTGGGGGTTAAAAAAAAACTATAAATACTCCTAATTTTAAACACTTTTTCACACCTCTTCTCCAACTCTTCCTAAATATGTATAATTTTCAAAAAAAAAATATTTAAAAAAATTTAAAAAAAAAAACAGCTCCCAAATGGCTATATAGCCGTTGGGGCTTTGGGTGGGGGCAGGGGGGGTCCCGGGGGTGATGGTGTGGGGAGAGGGGTTCAAAAACATCTATAATTACATCTATTTTCTAACATTTTTCTACACCTCTTCTCCAACTCTTCTCCATCTTCATCTTCTCTTATTATCCTACATTCCTACTTATACATCTACCATTTTAAAGATGGAAAGTACATCTTCCCTTCTGCAAAACAATTTTGATAAGTGGAAGGACCCGAAGACCGGACTGTGATGGGCAACTTGCAAGTGGTGCAAGAAAGAGTGTAGCTTGGGGCGTTCACACGGATACGGGATGACAATAAAACATACTTCGTATGAAGTCCTGTGACAAAGGTAAAACAACAACCAACGGTGGCGGAAATCTCAATTGATATTTATTAGAAAATGTATTTCATATTGTTGTTTTTTCTCAATTCTCAAATGTAGTTCCTATTTCAAATAAATGCACTTGAACTTTGTTTTTAATAAGAATTTGTATATTCTATAATAATTAAAAAAAAATATGGCCCGGCCTGGCCCGACGGGTGGCCAGACCCGTGACCCGGGCGGATGGCCCGGCCCGAACCGGCACCGGCCATAGCCCGGGCCGGTCCCGGGCCTACCTCTACTTGACCCAAGGCCCGACCGGGCCTAGGCCCGGCCCGACCCGGCCCGGGTCCATCACTATAATGAAGTAGAAGTTGGTGTGAGTAAAAATCACACTCAAATATTTTGGCTTACACAGTCTAACAAATTAAAAGGATGACACCCCATTCTGGCCCGAGGCTCCCTAGCGAGTGTAGTTCTGACTCAAATACTTGCAAATACTCTATGCATTTTTACGTTGTAACCTCTCATTGCAATGGTTAAAATAGGAATATAAAATTTATCGCCTGTGGCACTCCCTACATCAACCAACTGAGCTACGTCCATTGGCCACGGTCTAACAAATTAAAGGATACATGGATGGATTGTTTGACTCGATCGTGTGAACAATAGTTGATTTTCAAGAAGGGACGGGGTTCCATTGATTACGTAACATTTGATTACAATGGTCGACATCTTTTCAAAATCTAGTCTAGGAAACACTTGTAATTATATTTGAAAAATAGTTCAAACTGAAATTTTCTTTAGCAAAAACGATTTATCAAATCGTTTAGTGTTGCTTTAAAAAAAAATCGTTTAGTGTTGGACCGTATGTTAGGACAATTTTGGACAAAACACAAAATGAAATGCATAATTTTAATTTTGATTTTGAACAAATCTAAAAACTTATAAGCACCAATGGTGGCCAACTATGACATATAAGGAATGATAAAAATGTTGGTGTAACACTACAGCAAGTTGCACTTGTACAATTTGTTGCAATTAGCGTATCATTCATCATTAACTTTATAACTTCTCTGATGGAGTATATGGCTCGGGAACTCCCGGCCCACAGACTCCTACTATTCTAGCACAGGCCCAACAAGCCCAAGAAGCACAAGAGGCCCAAAACACAGTGGCCCAAGCTCAAAGAAGCTCAAGGTGCGCCCAGGGTAGCCTTCGACAACATGGCCGAAGACTCCAAAACTCACAGGACAGCCAGATTTGAGCGTACAAAGCTACTGGGAGAAAATGGCAGAATTCAAAAGCCTTCGGCACTTTCGTGCCCTCGGCATCAGGAAAGCCTTCGGCCATACCAAGCCTTCGGCCACATCGAGCCCTCGGCTGGTCAAGCCTTTGGTCACAGGAGAGCCTTCGGCTAAACAGTTCAATCATCGAAGATTCTCTTTGGAGACAAGCAACCACCGCATTTAATGCGGCGTCACATCCACCCACCGCATTTAATGCGGTGCACATGCGAGTGCCAGTGTCACCCCGATTAAGGTGACCCCTCGGCCGTTAGATTACTGACACGTGTACTCTCATCGCATTTATGGCTGCTATAAATAGCACCCTTTATTCCTCTTGTAAAGGAACCCATATCAGATTTCATTAATATATCTGACTCTCTCTCTCTTACTTGTTTGCCCTGACTTCTCTCTAGGTTATTCTCATAATAACCCCTCGGACAAGCTACCTCAGGTACACTATCCATCATTCTCCTTGCCTCCGTTAAATTCCAATGGGAGAGTTTCCAACTATATGTGTGCCCTTCGAATTTTAATTAGGGAATTTATCACAAATGGGCTAAAACTGAAAGTAATATCAAATTTGTCACCATGAGAAGTTCTTTTCAAAAGTAGACTCGTAAGGTTTTTCTTTTCAATATCAAATTTGCTGACTGAATAATGAAAATGAACCCATGTGCTAACTTTTTGCTAACTTTGTGCTCTAATAGCACTTACGAATCCAACAATTTAAAAATGGGAGAATACAAGTGCAAAAATGATAAAACAATGCAAAAAAAAACAATTAAACCAAATTATATATTCTTGAAATTAAAATAATAATTTAAATTTGAAAAAGGTAATAAAATACAATAAATGCGTAAAATTTATAAAAGTTGAACAAGATGATATATTTATTCATTTTTGAAACATATATAATTGCTTAAAATTTATAAAAGTTGAAAAATAAAATAAATGCTTATTCATATTCGAATCCAAGTTGAAAAAGGAACCTACTTTTTAAAACAAAGATGTAAATGAGATAAAAATGTTTTAAAACTGTATAAAAAATATGAAAAGTAAATATAAAGTATTATAAAAGAGTAATTTTATTGAAATTGGTATACATAAATTAAAAAAATATGAAAATTATAAATAAATACAAAATTTGAAAACATTCAAAAATATCAAATAAATACTCAAATCAGTGCAATGGTCAATTTTTTATGTTTGTCAACGCAAAAAATTGACCATTTGTATATTTAATGCTCTACTATTAAACAAAATTTAAAAATTCATATTTTAAAAATTTACGATAAGACAAATTTAACAACATTTTTATAAAAATAATTTATAAATACATTAATAAATAAAACATAGTCAAACTAGAACATGTGAAAAGTTTAAAATTCAGCATTTTCAATTATTTACGAACAAAAGGAAGTATATTAATAGGAAAAAATGAAACTATATTTTTTAAAAATAAAATTAAAATAGAAAATAAGTTTCTTAAAGTTTATAAAAATTATATACATTGAAATAAATTAAACTTGTGTAAATTATAGAAATTAAAACTAAAAATATGAAAAATAAAGAAAATATAAAAACAATTGAAAAATATGAAAATTGAAAGTATAGAACTATTTGTACGTAAAATAATATTTGAAAAATATTTAACCAATTTATTTATTATTGTTTGTTTCACATTGTTTCTTTGTGTTTCCCTATGTTGATAAATTTAATTATTTTTGTTTCCTATTGTTACTTATATACCTATATCTGATTTTTTATTCCAAATTAAAAACGAATATAAATATAAAAATAAATAGATAACCAAAATTAAAATCAATAATAAAGAACAATAAGCAACACGATACAACAACATGCAACATGATGCAACAAAATGTAAAAACAATATATACAAATATCACAAAATACATATTATTATTA